ATCCCTGAATGTGTCCCAACTTTTCCAGTGAACGCAATACATTATTTGAAGCTCTGTCATAGTTGAACGTATTGAAGACTCTGGTAAGGAAATACCTCTGAAAGGATGAATCAATGAGTAATGTGTTTTATCTGGTACTGACAGTTAATTTAAAGATATTGTTCTGACTGAGGCTTCCTGAGAGCATGAAGCAAACTCCTTGTCCCGACAAAAAACCCTTTTATTAATTTACATTGAATTCTGCTCATTCACATCCAGCAAAGTCTTTCAAGGGAGGATTTACAGTCACAGATCTTATCTGGCTTGGAGAGCTGGCAGGCCGATATCTGCAAAAACTTGGCAAGGCATCTGGAACAGTCACGAACCAATTAAGCAAACTAATTGTCTCCTGCAAACTCCACTCCCCTTTCGGTCCTCTTATATTTTATCTGGAAGGGGGCATTCATCGTCCATCTGTAGCCTTACTCTCAAGGGGAGCCCTGTTCTTTAGCTGTTCCCTTCCTCTGACAACTCTGCACATGCGCACACTGGGAACAGGCTCCAGCTGTTCGTCTGCCCCACTAATCTCTGACTCCGAAGGCAGCTGATAAATGTTGGAGGGCCCTGGCCCCCTCTCTGCCTCTGACACAGAGCCTTCATCAGAGCCTTCCCCAAACAGGACTGGCCCATGTTCCTCCCCAACTTCCTCCACTGGCGGGCCACAACATGATCCTCCAACTTGCTAGTCAGCAGGCATTAAGGGGGAGGAGGATGGCGTATTTGTCCACCAAGCCCTCCCATTCTGAAACCGATCGAGGTTCCCACCAAATCTAATTGGCCGACCTACATCTTCTGCGCCGTCTTCTTTAACTAAGTAGCCTTCGTCATAGATCTGTCCACCCTGCTCAGCGTAGAAACAGGTCTGGTCCAGTACAATCCCACATTCTTGGCCTGTGTGAACTTCATCCACAAAGGTCTTGTCCCGTCGGATAGCTTTCACTGTGGCTCCCGGGGTACCAAATTCTGTAGGTCAAAACGAAACACCCCAATAGAGGTGGGGGGTAAAAAAAGTCAGGTGAGCTTCGTATCCCATCAGGAACCAACAAGGTTCCAACAACTCTCAGTGTTGTCATGGGGACAGAATGAGGGGAGTGCATTCCATGCATACTGTTCGGCTGGAGTCGGATCTCAGATTACTGCAGCTGGTTTGGGAGGGGTGCATCTATAGGATAATGTGATTTATGACACAGACTGAGGGGAGGGAAGGAACAGGGGTAAAATTCAGAAGTAAATCAAACAAAGCACAGGCTTGACTGTGAACAGATCTTGCCTAATGGAGCTCCTAATAAATCACCGGTTTTGTATTTAAAACTTGACTCGATGCTTATGAATCAATTAGGGCATCTTTAGGAAATCTGACACAAGGACCATGTGAAAGATGGGCAAGGACAGCATCAACATTGGTAGAAGAGACCATTCAATGGCCAGCCTTCAACTGGATATGTTGGGTTACAATTCCCAGAATGTATTGCCTGCAAGTCCCTACTCATCTGAAGGTGTTTTAGATATCTATGAAAATATGTTGGCTCTGGATGGGCAGAAGATACTGCACTAAAGAAACGGCCTGGAGCTCACCATAGAAACCGTCTGAATCCGACCGATAGTTGTATTTTGGGGAGTCGTCGGTGGGTTCCAGAGCTCTGGCACGGAGATCTTCAATAGCATAGATGTCCAACATGATGAGGTCTTCATCACCACCACCCTTGCCCTGGGACTTCAGCTGGAAATGAAACAAACCCAAACATGAAGGTTGGATTAAGGAATGAAGTTGAGGTTCGATGCTATTATCATATTCTACTGCACCAAAGGAAGTTGGAAGTCAATGCCTTTTCTTTCTTTTTTCCCCTTTGACCTACACTATTCCCTTCCCTTAAAGGTATAGGTTCCCCTTGCATATATGTGCTAGTCGTTCCTGGCTCTAGGGGGCGGTGCTCATCTCCGTTTCAAAGCCGAAGAGCCAGCACTGTCCAAAGACGTCTCTGTGATTATGTGGCCAGGATGACTAAATGCCAAAGGCACACGGAATACTGTTACCTTCCCACCAAAGATGGTTCCTATTTTTCTACTTGCATTTTTTACGTATTTTCGAACTGCTAGGTTGGCAGAAGCTGAGACAAGTCACGGGAGCTCACTCCGTTATGCGGCGCTAGGGATTCAAACCGCTGAACTGCCAACCTTTCTGATCGACAAGCTCAGTGTCTCAGCCACTGAGCCACCGCGTCCCTCCCTTCCCTTATTTTCCTACTATTTTCTTTTGTATTTTATATTATAAACTAATAAAAAGTCATCTGTCTCAAAGTCACCTTTAACTTTGGTCACTGAATGAATAATTGTAAGTCAAGCGCCGCCTATACAGATGCCCTGTTAAGTTTGAGATAAGGGTCAGCAGCAGCCAAAGCCCTACCTGAGCGGTCTTCCTTTCCTCCTCGAAGGCCTCCATGTCGACTCTTAATCCCTTCTCTTCCGCAATTAGCCCGGTGAGATCCACTGGGAAACCGTACGTGTCATATAGGAGCCAGGCTGTGTCACCTGAAAGGAAGAAAGTGCCATGAAAACATCTTCATCTGTAAAAGGAATATTCTTTGTGGGTCATCCTGTATGCAATTACATCCTGTTTTTGTACTATACTTATGTTCTCTATTGCATGTCTGGGAATTGCCCACATAGGTATCTTGTCNAAAGCACTGTAAAGCAGTATATAAGTCTAAGTGATATTGCTATTTTTTTTGTCGGCCCCAAATCCCTGAATTATGAAAAAGAGAGTACGGTTCCCTCTGCTTTATAGGCATCTATTATCACCAGTGGTGGGATCCTACCAGTTTAACAACCGGTCAGGTGATCACGTGCTTTGCAGTGTGGAGAAAATTTATCTTCCACATTAGTGCTGGAAAGGAAAACAGCTGAGGCGCAACTCAGCTGAGAAGATATAGGTTAAGTAAATCGCAAAGGGGGAGGCGGCGGGCTGGTCCACTTGATCGGTGGAGCGAACCAGTTCGTTCCCAATTGATCGTCGGAGCTACTGATTCACCCAAATTGATCTGAATACCAAATATCTGGGCAGATCATAATCCCCTTGTAATAATATGGAAAGGGCAAAAAAAGAAGAGAGGAAGATGGACATTGAACCCTCAAGCTTTAAAACAAAAGGAATATATTAAATGGATTTAAAAAAATCATTGTATTTATTTTGTACAATGACAATAAAGACTATACTATACTATACTATACTAAAAAGAATTAGAACAATTCTTTCAGGCCAGTAAGAAACAACTCATTACAAAACCTATGGGACGCAATGAAGAGGAGAGGACTAACAATAGCCTATACTGCTAAGAAAAATAAGGAGAAAGATTACAATACACTACAGGAGGAGATTTGGGACATCTCAAGCCTGGAGACTCCATTGTTCCCAAGGAAAAAACCACAGGTCAGAAAGAGATTTTTTCTTTCACACAATTCCCCATCCTTTTGCAACACGGAGTAAGGGTGATTCAAGGTATCTGTGTTAAATGAAGCACCTCTCTGGTTTACGAAGCGGGAAAGATAAATTCCTCGGGGAATTTTCTACTCGATGGGGAGGACTTTCATGTGTGATTTAAGTGGAAGCTCAACTACAAAAGAAGCCCGGGGAGGAGCAAATTAAAAGAAAAAGGGCTTTAGCCAAGCACAAATTGAACATACTGGTCTGATCTGGTAGAATCCCACCCCTGATTATCACTGACCTGGTTCATGCCAGCATTGGCGAAGAGGAGGGTAGGGTCATCCAGAGGGATAGTAGCGGATGAGTGTACGTAAGTATGTTGGTGGTCCACAAAGAAATTGATGAAGCGTTGACGGATCTCACTGGCCGTCAGGGTCTCCATTGTGAGATCTCTGCTCGGCCCTGGGGAGAGAGAGACAGATAGGTGGGAAAAAGAAACACCCGATTTGAAGAAAGCAAGGAAAAGTTATAAAAAGTCAGTCCCATCTTAAGGCATGAAAGCTGGCTTGGTGATCTGGGGTCGGCTCTCTCAGCTCATCCTACCTCCCAGGGCTGTTTTGGTGGAGAAAATAGGATGAGGAGGGAGCATTAGATACACAGCTAGTCCTCGACTTGCGATCACAACTGACCCCCCCAAATTTATGTTGTTAAGTGAGGCATAAGTACGTTAAGTGGATTTTGCCCCCTTTTTACAACCTTCCTTGCCGTAGTTGTGAATCGCTGTAGTTGATAAAATTAGTAGCTTGGTTGCTAAGTGAATCTGCCTTCCCCGCTGTCTTTGCTTGTCAGGAAGTCGTAAAAGGGGATCATGTGACCCCGGGACAGCGCAAGAGTCATACATATGAGTCGTTGCCAAGCCTGGGAATTATGATCATATATGACCATGGGGGATGCTGAAAAGGTCATAACTGTGAAAAATGGTCGTAAGTCCCATTTTTCAGTGCCATGGTTAACTTTGAACGGGCACTAAATGAAGTTGTAAGTCGAGGACGACCTGCATTGGCCACTTTGAGTTGTCAATGGCTGCTGGCCTTGTGATCAAATTTACGCCAGCATTGACTGACATCAGAAGTTAAAACTCCTACGGTAGTTGATATGAACAGGTTGAGCAGAAAACAAAATCTTTATCAACCAACTGCTTAGGGTTGCACAAAGTTATTAATAGATGAATTAAAGACTTGGCCGTTGCCGACTCAAGTTCATTGTGCACAATGTCACCCCGATTGTGAGTGTGTCTACCAAGGAGGAGAAGGGATCCAATCCCTCTCCTAGCAATGGTGAGGCTAAGAGGTTATAGGATATTGTGCGGAGGGCTTGAGAGGGGAGGTGGCGCAGGGGTTAAATGCAGCACTGCAGGCTACTTCAGCTGACTGCAGTTCTGCAGTTCGGCTGTTCAAATCTCATCGGCTCAGGGTTGACTCATCCTTCCATNTCAGAACCGGCTGAATACCACTTCTGGTGCCCATACCTGCCACTCGCATGGAACCATCCCTTCTCCCCCCTCCTCCGCTGGGCTGCCAAGCCGGAAAGGTTGGGGACAGCTGCATTAGGGGGGGAAAGCTTCCAAGGGGGTCCCTGCAACTCAGTTCCATTTCAAGGAATCCCCTTTGGTTTTACCCAGGCTTCGCCCCAGGGAATTACAAGCAGCCTCACCCTCTGCCGGTGTTATCAGGTCTCCCCCCATCTGAAAGGGCTATGGTGATGGTTCGGGCGTGGTCAGCCAGGACTCGGTAAGCCATATCTATGCCATCAACATCTTCCTCGCCAACCTGCCCGGAGTAAGGTCGGCAGCCAGTGCCCTATGGAAAAAAAAAGGAGTGGAAGCAGAAATTTCCATGAATGTGAGCCAATGCCAGTATTCACTTATTACCGTATTTTTCGGAGTATAAGACACATCTTTTTCTCTCAGAAAAGAGGCTGAAAATCTGGGTGCGCCTTACAGCATTTTTTGCCTCCCGAAACCCTGCCCTCTTCACCAAAATGGCCATGCATAGCCTTTAGGAGGCTGTCAGAGTGCTCCTGGGGATTGGAAAGGGCAAAAACAAGCAAAAAGTGGACTTTTTGCTAAATTATGCCCCACCCGGCCGCCAGGAGCACTCTATAAGCCTTCTAAAGGCTATGCATGACCTTTTTTTTTTTTTTTTTTTTTTTACAAAAAACGGGCCCGTTTTTGGGAGGTCTGCAGAGTGCAAAAACGTTTTTTTTAAAAATTGCCTCTTCAAAATCTTGGTGCATCTTATACTCCGGTGCGTCTCATACTCCAAAAATATGGTATGTACTACTAGCCGATAACCTCGCATTGCCCGGGTATTTATTTATAGGGGGAAAATGTCCCGACAAAACATTAGAGCCGAGGTGGCGCAGTGGTTAGAGTGCTGTACTGCCGCCACTTCAGCTGACTGTTATCTGCAGTTCGGCGGTTCAAATCTCACCGGCTCAAGGTTGACTCAGCCTTCCATCCTTCNCTCTGTGAGGGGCCATTCATTGTCCACCTGTGGCCTTACTCCCAAGTTGACCCCTGCTCTTTAGCTGTTCCCTTCTCCTGGCAGCCCTGTGCAGGCACACACTGGGAACAGGCTCCAGCTATTCGTCTGCCTCACTGATATCTGACTCTGAAGGCAGCTGATAACTGGCATACAGCCCTGGCTCCCTCTCTGCCTCCGACACAGAGCCCTCATCAGAGCCTTCCCCAGACTCCGGAACTGGCCCATGTTCCTCCCCAACCTCCTCACTGTCCGAATCTGCTACCCGCTCTGCTGGCCACTGGTTGGCCACAATTGATGCTTTCCAGGTAGTGTGGAGGCTACAACTCCCAGAATTCCAATGGCTCTATTCTCTTCTAACTAGAGGGCAGGAGGACAACTGCTCAAGAGCAAAATACGAGAGTAGGATTACCAGGGACTGAACCACCACATCGACCAGTGTGGCGAAAAATCCCTTGGGAGCACTGAGCTTCTCGTGAGCATAGCGCACAGCACGTCGGAGGATGCGCCTCAGAACATACCTGCATTTAAGGAACAGGAGGGAAAAATCTATTTTACATTCTGACTAGTCATATTTCTGAAAACATTTGAGATGCAGAGAGAACTGACTACGAGTGCATTAGGGCAGAGGTCCCCAACCCCGGGGCCACAGCCAGGACCCGGGCCGCAAAAGGCAAAGTAAGTGTGTGTTTGTAGCCCCATTTGCCCAAGCAGCAGGTGCTTGTGCTTACATGAGCAGCTGTTTGGGTGAGCAGCACGCATGCACCCGTGCCCATGTGGTGGGATTCAAAAAGTTTTTTAAATAAAATTTTCATTTTCAAACAAACACAAACAAACAAAACATGTAACATAAAAACCTCTCCAACTACGTACAGTGTGTCGATTGGTAACAAGGTCTTTCTGCGTCCTTTCCATAGTCATCACTTGAACTTTATCAAAAATCACATATTGTCAATCAAATATCTTTGTATACATTATTATTATNTGAAGCCACTGACACCCCAAACCAGCAACCTAAGCCCAGCTCCTTTTTACAGGTGGGGAGCTCGAGCAAAGGGACAGAAAGGCACAGAGGGTTCATCGTGCAACATGCATGCAAGCAAGCAACCGGCTCACCACCACGTTTATTGTGCGCTTGAAAGACTCAGCCCATTTTTCTCCGCCCAGCCTACCTTGTTGTGCCTGAATGACTGGAAGGTGGGGGGGGGAAACCACCGAGGAGGAGGACGCCGCCGACGTCGCCTTTTGCGCCTGGAAAACAAGACAAAAGATGCCGGAGTGGAACAAACACGCCTTTATTTTATTTCTTTCCGTTCAGACGACCCCTCCAATAGCCTACCTTCAACCGGCGATGTCGCTTCGCGCAGCTGCGGCGGCGCTTTCGCATACGCAGCTGACGGGGGGGCGGGCCTTTCTTTAGCTCGCGCGTCCTATTGGCCTAAAGGCTTAAAATGCGAGTGACGATTGGTCCAAAGTCTTGTCCGTCAACTCCAAAGGGGCCGAGTCACGCCGACAGGCCAGCATTTGCAGCACGCTGAGATTGAGGATTTGGGCCGGCTGATGCAATGGCTGCGAAATTGAGGTCACGTGGTCTCCTAGGGAAGGGCATGAAGGCGGCAAGGGAGCCGCCATTAAGAGAAGGGACTGGCCCGGGAGAGGCGGGGATGGGAAGATCTAATTACAGAGAGTGGTTAATAATGCGGGATTGGTTGGGTAGGATAATATAGGCTGGGGGAGGAACCACGACGTTAAAATGCACTATTTTTTTATTTTTTTAATGTGAACATAAGTCTTTTGAATATTTTGCAGAATCCATCTCTTTAAAAAAAAAATGACCAAAGAAAGGGATCGTGCATCTATCTGCGCGAGTTTTAAAACATTTTCTGCAACGTCAGTAAAAATAAGATAAAATGTTTCCTGGAACATTCTGCTCCGGGGAATGTGAATGTGGATTTATTATTTTGTGTTTTGTGTGTGTGTGTGTTTTGAGGCCCCTTGAAGCATTGCGCAAACAACATCCCATTGCGTAAAATAAAAACTACAATAGAAATTCTGAATGNTCCTATTCCATTCCATTATTCTATTCTATTCCATTCTCTATTCTATTCTATTTCTATTCCATTCCATTATTCTATTCCATTCCATGCTCTATTCTGTTTTATTTCTATTTCTATTCCATTCCATTATTCTATTCTATTCTATTCCACTCCATGCTCTATTCTATTCTATTTCTATTCTAATAAAAATATACATATAATAATCATTGGGATTAGGAAACACAAGCAGAAATCCAGTCCTTCCCTTTCATCCCAACTTCACGCGAACTAGAAACTCCAATTTTAAAGCATGTATTTTAAAAGCAAATGAAAACTAATATACAGCAATGAAACACAGATAGTCTTTCACTTACAGCATAGTTCTTTTAGAGACCTCTCGAAGTTACAACAGCACTGAAAAGTGACTTAGGACCGTTTTTCACACTTACGACTATTGCAAGATCCCTAGGTTCAAGTAATCAAAATTCAGACACTTGGCAACTGGCATGTACTTATGATGGTCGCTGTGTCCTGGGGGGTCATGTGATCGCCTTTTGTGACTCTTGATAAGCAAGGTCAATGGGGAAGCCAGATAAGGTCTTATTATACCATGTTAATAATTGTGTTACTAATATAACAATTATTAATCCCCCCCCCAAACACAAAAGGGAAAGTTAAATAGCAAAGGTGGGATGAATGGGGAAAGGTGATGGGGGGAGGATTTGGGAGAGATACTAAAACAACAATTAAAAAGGAGAAAAAAGATTGGAAAGAAAAAACATTTAAGATTAAGAAAAAGAAAAGAAAATGGTATAGGTGAATGGAGGAAAGAAACACGAGTCAATGAAAGAAGACAATAAAACCCAAAAATAGAAGTTTAAGTAGGATTACCATGTATATATGCATTCAAGAGTGTTGAAACCTATTAGAGGTAATCACCCAATATATTAGATAGATGAGTAAAATAAGAGGGTTAAAAATGGTGAAACTCAAATATATTAGAAGGGGAAATAAAATCAGGAGAATTGTACCGATTTGAAACTGCTATAAGAAGGAAGGTGACGTTCCAATGTATTGTGTAAATGTAGTTTACGTCTAAGTTTTGTTTGTGTGTATTTTGTATGTTTAAAAAAAAAAACTGATTTAAGAAAAAGAAAAAACTAGGTAAATGGGTGGATAGAAGAGAATATGAGAGAAGGGAAGTTCCTGAGAAACTAAGACAAAATGGTTGTCAGGAGGAAAGAAAGAAAAGGATTTATTAGTAGAATAGAATGAAATTTGGTAAATACAGCCCACGGTATATATTCAATATGATGGGAGGGAAATAGATTAATAGAATTACTTGTGAATAATTAATAAAATGAAATGTTCACTGTACCAAATTAAATTTGAGGATATATGTTATTAAGAGTGAAACAGAATAACAGATGGAAATGATATGTTAAATTTGATTAATTCAGAGAGGCAAGTATTGATATTGTTTATCTATTAAGAAGAAACTAAAACTAAGCGGAAGAATATGGGATGAAAACAAGATGACTGAAATGTAAAATGAAAATATGATGTAAAACGAACTGCGCATAAAAGAAAATGTAAAGGGGGGGGACACCGGACAATGTTTATAAAAAAAAAAGTTAAAATATGTAACAAAAAAATAAAAAAAAACTGGTTTAAAAAAAATACCAACTGTTAACACCCCTTAACAACCGTGGCAAGAAATTGTGGGCTCAATTGTGGTCGGAAGTCGAGAACTACCTGTTCGTAGGTAAAACAAATATATCACACATGTATATGTATAAATATAAATGCGGGGGTGGAATTCTTCAGAGCGCTTCCTCTGATTGACTGGAAAACCCACAGCTGGGAAATCTCAAGCAAAAGGAAATCCAATTCCAGCATCACCTGTTGAACTGTATGAACACCAAATTCCAGATCTCGAGCACATTGGGATCATCTTGATTGACAAGGTGGGAAGCGTCTCGGTCCCCGATCCGGTCGTAATGCATCTCGCTGCAAGGGCCACAGGGCCCGGTGTCACCCATTTCCCAGAAGTTGTCCTTCATGCTGCCTGGAAGGATCTTACTCTCTGCCAGACTAAAAGAGAAAAAAAGCTCCATGAATAACAAGAGTGAAGAAAGAGCCCACAAGTCATAACTTCGGTGCTCTGGATTTAATTAGGAGCCCAGAGCATTTTCAAACAGCTTTGAAAATATTGAATAGCGAGCGCCATGGTGGCACAGTGGTGAGAAGGTAGTATTGCAGGCTAACTCACTGCTCACTGCCAGGAGTTTGATTCTGACCAGCTAAAAAGGTGGACTCAGCCTTACGAGGTCAGTAAAACGAGGACCCAGATTGTTGGGGGAAAGAGACTGACACTGTAAGCTGCTTAGAGAGGGCTGTAAAGCGGTATATCAGTCTAAGTGCTAGTGCTATTCCCCTCCACTTTTGTCCCCTCCAGATGTGACACGAAATTCCAAGGACTGTAGTCCCATCACAGATGGGATGCACGAGGTTAGGAAAGTTGGTATTTGAAGTTCACTTAGCAAGTTGTTTTTTAAAGTAATATTGTCATCACACCATCAAAACTAAGGGCTATTTGAAAACTAAAAATACTGACAAGGAACACCCCATCAGCTGGGATAACGCTCCCCTCTTTTTATTTTGTGCAGCCGAGTAATAAACCATTTTGGGAGATTCTTGGTAAAAATAGTGGTTTAAAACATCCAATATGAGAAGCAAGCCAGATGATCAAGCTGTGGTTTCTGAATGGCTTGCTTTCCACTAAACCAACGTTTCTTAATTTTTTTTTCCCTTTAGGATCCCTTCCCACTTTTAAAAAGCATGGATGACTCTATAAAGAGTGGTGGGATTTTAAGGCACTATTATTTTTAAACACGGCAAATAATCTCGATTTCACAGAGGTCTTGGGAATACACTTTAAGAAGCGCTGCACCGAGAGCTATAAACGAGACTGGAAAAAATGGATTGACTATATTCAAAATAAATATGGGTCTAGGAAATTTTAGATAGCTTATGATTA